ATTGATGAGCGGCACAATGGACAATATGTTAATGGAGAAACACCTGTCAAATGATGTCCTTTACCGACCATGCAAAAATCTAACCCAGATATCCGAGAATGAGATCAATGAAGTATGGGAGTACGTGGGAAAAAAGAATAATCTGAATGAGAGAGCCATCCAGAGATTAAAGACGACCCACAGTCAGTGTCCTGTTATTTACCTGCTCACGAAGACACACAAGTTTCCAGACAACGTACCGAGCACCAACCTTGTCCTCGACGACATTAAAGTTCGACCAATCATTACTCGTTGTGGTGGCCCTGCCGACAAAGTCTCCTGGCTTATTCAAGTCATATGCAATCCCCTCCTCCAGTTTGTGAAGGCGCATCTTCGAAACACAGAGCAGTTACTGAGAAACTTACGCAGCATGCAAAACGGCGAACTTAAGAACAAATTCCTATTCAGCTTAGACGTGGTTTTATTGTATCCTAGTGTAAATAATGATGCAGCCATTGACACATTATGTTCTTACCTCGAAAGAGAAAGGAACAATATTTATCTATATCAATTTTCTGTGCCTGATATCATCCTACTAACCAAAACCATCTTCCAGAACAACTGCTTCTCCTGGAAAGGAACATTTTACCAACAGCTTCGAGGTTTAGCGATGGGAAACCGGTTAGCACCGATACTCCCCATTCTCTACATGGATAGAATTGAGAATCAAGCAATCTACTCCGACCTATCCCTTTCTGTCTCCCTCTACTACCGATATATTGATCTACTACCAGATAAGCCGCATTTATCCAAAACAAGTTAAACTCCCAAGACCCTGTAATCCGTTTTGAGATTGAATTACCGGACGTAGATGGCTTCCTTCCATTCTGAACACTAAGATCAAAGTGAACGAATCTGGATGCATCGAAACGGGGTGGTACACAAAACCTGCCAATAAAGGTCTGATGTTGAATGAAAGATCCTATCACCCAGAACATATGAAACAAGCCTGCATAAGTAACACCATCAACACTTACACCGCGATATGTTCGAGTGACGCCTTACTCGAACAAGCTGAGCAGACGTTCAAAAGAAGAGCTATACGGAACGGTTATGATAACAGCTACGTTGATCGAGTCAAGCAGAGAAAGAAAACAACACAGAAACAGAAAACAACACAGAAACAGAAAACAACACAGAAACAGAAAGAATCCCTCCCCACGCTGCCTATCCCGTATGTGTCAAGTGGCTTCACGAACGACATCAAAAGAGCGGTTAAACGTTCTAACCTGAACGTACGAATAATTCAACGACCCCAAAGCTCCCTGAAGAACCTCCTTGTCGAGTCAAGACCCCACGATAAGTCGTGCAAAGACGTTTCCAAATGCCCTATTTGCCACAACTCATCTATTCCCGTGCAGTGTTAATTAACTGCAATCTGTGTGGACGAGGCTATGTTGGTGAAACCAGTAGACCTTTAGTCGTCCGTTATAAAGAACACTACCGCTCCACAGCTAATCCCACAGCACCATCATATAAGAACATGGCTTTTTCCAGACACTATATCGAGTGCCACCCTGGACAGGAACCAAAGTTAACTGTGAAAATTCTGAAAAAAACAAGTGGCTCATTGAACCGAAAGATCACAGAAGCATTATTCATCCAGAAGCTAAAACCAGACTTGAACAATAAATACGAACAGCTTAGCGTAGCAAATTTTCTAGTGTAAGGATTTATATACTATTTTCGGACATGCTCGTTAAAACACTTAGTTCTAATTTATCTAATTGATATATTTAAATTCTCGGACACGTCAATTATATGTTTACGCAAGCGCATACGCGCGAGCTAATAACGGTCGCATGCTTTAACGGTTTTTTAGTGCGTATAAATGTAACCTGATGATGGAGTAAACTCCGAAACGTTGTTACAATTTATTAAATTTTTTAAAAAAAGCCTTCTGGTCGTTACTAAAAAGAAAATTATAACATTGGAACAACGAAGAAAAAGCACTGTTTCAAGTTAATATCAGATATGACTGAAGAAGATCACAAGCTTAATCATTTGCTTCCTCCAAAAAGATCTGAGGTAACGGAAAGAAAACACTAGAGGGAACAAAAATTGTTTATACAACTTTTTTAGTAGAACTAATAGATTTTACATGCTATTAACATTTTTAATACTATGAACAACAATTAGGATAGTAAATAATTGTGATTAAATTTTTAATAAAGTTGTAAACTACATTTTTAATATAATTGTTGTAAACTACATAGTAATTTAACTCATGTTATTGTATGTAGTTATAAATCCAATAATAATAACACTGCTAATTGACACTACTTGTTCAATGGGTGTACTCACGATAACATTTTCTTCGGGCATTGTCACTAGACTTTCTTCAATTGAATTTAATGAACTGTCATGTAATGGATATAGTTTACTTTGCCTGCCCAGAGAATTTTTTTCTTTCCATTCCAAATTCCGAACCGTTTGCCGATATGAATAAGCTTGTCCATCTTGAATTGACGCGATGTGAGGATTCCAAATATCTACGGAAATTGAGGCGTTGCCGTCGACCAATACTCCAGAAACAACTTGCAAATTATCATTGACTTTTCATCTTTCAGTTATTTTAACAACTTAACATTAACATTAACTCTATCGTATTCCAAACAGTTGTCCACAATGTTTTGTATATTAATAAATGTTTCATCATTTGGTGTGTGTTTCGTGTACTGAAATTCATACTCACTCAGGTCAGGAGTCAATATTTTTGTCGCACCATTTATGATAATTTTTTCTCCATCTTTAGTGCCATTCTCATAACATACTTGAAGTAGTCACGGTACTCATTTTCATATTCCTTTTGTATCAAGTGTTCACTTGCATATGCCAATTCATCTTGTGTAACATTAACAATTAAGCCACTAATTCTCCCCCATGGGCTTCTGGCAAAGATTATATTGCATATTTGCTCTCCCATAAATAGTGTCATGTCTAGATTTGCATACATAGTTTGTGTTACAGGATTCTTTAACCTTGTCTAAGTTTGTTTGAGTCAAATTCAAAAAGCAAGTGATAAAAATTATTTGGTATGATCACTGCGGCGGCAGGTACAAAACGCAGGTTGCAGGTTGCAGGTTGGAATTTTGCAGGTTGGGAATTTTGCAGGTTGGAATTTTGCAGGTTGGGAATTTTGCAGGTTGGAATTTTGCAGGTTGGGGATTTTGCAGGTTGGAATTTTGCAGGTTGACAGGAATTTTGCAGGTTGATGATGCAAACTGAAAATTACACTACTATAAAGTATTCTAGTACTAGAAAATACATGCATGCAGAAACCCTCGTCTTGCTGACAAAACCATTGTATTTTCCAAACATAAAGTATCTAAAGTAGTTGTCATGGTAACACGATAATTTTTTAAGAATATTATTACAAATGAAAAATCGCCTAACAATATCACTTTTAATTACAACATTATTAATTTCCCAGCATATAGATGTTAGGTATGTTATTATACATAATATAAGCCTCAATTTAAGGTAAAATTCAACCACCAATGCTTCGCAGACGTTAGTCACTAAGTGTTCTTTATAAAACTAATCGGCCTTTTAAAATGGCTTTCTTTATCGATAAACTTTGAGTTTGCAATAAAATACTTTAAAATTCTCGCTTGCAAATAACTTTGCTTTCTTTTTTGTTTAAAAAATTCAATATCATAAAAAAGGGAATCAATATTAAAGATACACTGAAATTATATCATTGCTGTCTTGTTTTGTTGTTTCATACGACGTTTCATATACGCAAAGCCAAAGGCCGTCGGGTTTTAAAGCCATTATAAAATCAATATTTAAAACAAACTTACCTTCGTTAATGTCGGCTCCCGTCTTTTAGCCGATTCTTTCGCAGTTTCGTTCTGAGAGAGCTTTTGAAATTTACAAAATCTTGCAAAAATGCGAGCAAAAATGAAATATATTTGGAAGAAATTTATCAATCATCAAATCAATTTCTATTTCGCTGTCGTCATGCAGTCATTATAATGCAAACTTTAAATTGGACCAATCAGTGTCCACAATTCATGACAGTCCGCTACATTTTTGAGATCAGTGAGGATGACCACCCACCGAAACATCGTTGGTGAGCCACGCCCGCGATATTTGATGAACTTTAGACTTCGCTAATGCTTTCGTTTCTCCGGGTGTAAATAGCCGGGGGGAATTAGTACCCTCGCACGGCGCTTCGCGCCGTCGGCTCGGGGATAATTTTATTGTGTACTTATTGCAGTCTGACTCCTTGTCGCCGCTTTTGATATCAGCCTATCCTGCTACCATGTTTCTAGCCTCTGCTCATCACCCTTGTGAAAACATTCAAAATGACCAGATTGGCTTGCATCTTCAGGGGAACGAATGTTCCAATTGTTGCGAGGAGCCTACATGAAGTGGTGGCAGTTCAGAAAATGCCTGAATGAGGTGTTTCTCCTCTGCACCCACTTATGAGACCACTCAAGCCCACAATTACCGTATCATTATTACTCGAGAGTTAGTTAACTTTTAACAGCATTCTAGTATAAACGCCGCCACATCATGTAGGCACCTCGCAACAATCAAATCATTCGTCTCCCTGTCAAGGGTGGGTTGACTACAAAATATTTGTAGTTCCCTATAACTACAGCTACTTCAAAAGTATGTAGTCAGCTACAGCCTACAACTACTGCTACTTTTGAACAAAGGTAGTTCGCTACTGACTACAGTTAAGCTTAAAAATGTAGCGAACTATTTCGTATACTATATTTTTAGTTTTACTGTATTTGGAGCATCTACTAACTCAGGCTGCAATGTATAACCTATAACAAATCGACTTACGAGTAGCAACAGTAAACACAAAGCAACGTTTTTGTAAGCACTGCGTACACTCTTCGGGAGTGCAAATAATTGACTATTGACTATTGACTATTGACTATTTTCCAGCCAATTGAAGAAAGTTATGTGTATGGTGTTCTGAACAATCTTAAAACCAACAAAGCTGTAGGCCTAGACAAAATCAGCGCTAGGTTACTTAAAGATTCTTCCAGTGTTGTAACTCCCATCCTAACCAAACTTTTCAATCGTTCACTCACTTCCTCAACATTTCCATCAACCTGGAAGTCTGGCAAAGTAACAGCACTTTTTAAATCTGGTGACAAATCCAATGCTAGCAATTACAGACCAATCACGATACTCCCAACAATTAGTAAAGTTCTCGAGAAAGCAGTCCACTCTCAAGTTTACCGCTACCTTATTGACAATAAAATACTAACACCACGACAGTTTGGTTTCAGACCTAAACTTTCCACTGAGATTGCGCTTGCACATTTCACGGACACCATTTTGGCTAATATGGACAAGGGTTTAGTAACAGGAGCTGTTTTTCTTGACCTGGCTAAAGCCTTTGATACTGTCGACCATTCTCTTTTATTTGAAAAGCTTGCCTCATCTGGTCTCTCCAATGATTCTGTCAACTGGTTCAAGTCATACCTAAGCAATAGAAATCAACTTACCGCCCTGGCTAACACTGTTTCCTCCTTCAAACACGTTCCTGTCGGAGTTCCTCAAGGTAGTGTTTTGGGTCCACTACTATTCCTTATTTTTGTTAATGATTTGCCTTATTGTATCAACCATTGTGAAATATCCTTATACGCTGATGACACTGTGATATACCTTTCTTCAAACAATGCTTGCGATCTTGAAATGAAGTTAAATTCCGATCTAAAATACCTATGCAGATGGTTTAACGACAATCTTCTGACACTTAATGTCTCCAAGTGTAAATTTATAATTTACGGAAGTTCTCGCAAAGTTGCAAAATTTAACAATGTTTCCATCACGGTTAATGATTCCATACTTGATAGAATTGACTCCTTCAAATACTTAGGAGTTACAATTCAACAAAACCTAACCTGGTCAGAACATATCGACAACATCAGCAAGAAGTTTAATCAACGCCTTGGTCTCATTCGCCGCATAAAATTCTTACTCCCTATTCAAGCCAGACCTCTATTGGACTACAGTGATATCGTGTGGGGAGATAAAAACAACTCCACTCTAATGAACCACCTTCAAGTTCTGCAACATAACGCTGCGAGACTTATCCTTGATCTTCCTCGCCATTCCTCCGCTACCGAAGCCCTTGAAACTCTAGAGTGGAAACCCCTTTATCTACGTCGAAAATACCACCGTTGTATCTCCGTCTATAAATGTCTTAACCATCTAGTCGACTTTGATTTTAACCTTACCATAATCTCCCGTATACATAGCCATAAAACACGCCAGAACAACAACTACTACCTCCCACGCCCACGTACGAATTGGGGAAAACAGAAATTCACTTATCACTCGGTATCGGAATGGAACTCATTACCTATTGAACTGAAACAATCTACTAATCTTAATCTCTTTAAAACCAAACTAAAACAATTTATCTAATTAAGTTGAACAATTTATCTAATTAAGTTGAGTTTTTTGTTTTTTGTTTTTTTTTCTAACTATGAAGTATAATTATATTTTTCTAACTATGAAGTATAATTATATATAATCCATTTGTAAATATTTTATAGTTTTTAAATAAGCACAGTATAGTTTACCATGTATAATATAGATATATATTGCAGGACCTCCCTGAAAAACACTTCGGTGAGTGGAGCTTCCTGAATAAATATTATTATTATTATAACTGTGTCTCAATATCATGCTATTACTATAAGGTTGCTAACAATTTTAAAAAGTAGCGAATAGCGATTCGCTGTTTGAAAAGTAGTCAATTACTTGGCTACTTTTCAGCAAAATGTAGTTCGCTATAACTACAGCTACTGTTTTAAAAAGTAGCCAAAAACTATTGGCTACTTGAAAATTGTAGTTCGCTACAGTAGCGAACTACAACTACTTCGCTACTACCCACTTTTGCTCCCTGTAGGTCCAAGCCAATCTGGTCATTTTGAATGTTTTCACGGGGGTGATGGACACTAGCGTTAGAGCAGAGGCGCCGACAAGGAGTCAAGCTGCAATAAATGCACAACTAAATTATACTAGAATACTAAAAAAGTGGTGTAATTTTAAGTTTGCATTATCGACCTGCAAAGTTCCTGTCAACCTGCAAAATTCCAACCTGCAAAATCCCCAACCTGCAAAATTCCAACCTGCAAAATCCCCAACCTGCAAAATTCCAACCTGCAAAATTCGCAACCTGCAAAATTCCAACCTGCAACCTGCGTTTTGTACCTGCCGATCACCGCGGTGCTTGGAATATTTTGTTGATATTTTTAACCCAAATGGTGGAAAAGGAATTGGAAAGTTCTTAACATGTTATTCAGATGTCACAGGTAAGAATACTTTTATATTTGACTTATTATTTAAGCACTTTAATTGCAAAATAATGTGGTGAATATGATTGTTAATTTGAGCCATGTGGGCCATGTGTCTTAAAATTCCGTTGAATGTTTGAATTTGCCACGTTCAATTTGCATATAAAACATACAAAATGTTGGTTTCTGGCAGGAAAGAAAGAATAAAATATAAATTCAAACCTATTATTGTGAACTCTATACTAAATTTCACACTATTATTAACAATTTAGCAATATTTTCTTTGGCATAATTTGGCACTTTGCTTAAGAGTTAAGACTATATATATATTGACAAGCTGGGTAATAATTATATATTAAACATCCGAATGCTTTTAAAGTTATGTTTGCATTTTAGTACTTCAATAAGGATTGGAATCAGAGAGGAACGACAGCATTTAATGTGATATTTTTAGTGTATCGATAATCGATCTTTAATGTGCTTAAGTGTCCTCTACTGCATTGCATTACTCTGTCTAAATTGCAAGATGATTTTACTTGTCAAGGGGAGAGTCTTTTAATAGTGGGTCTATAAAGAGCTTCACTTGTATAAAGTGATGTTTGCAATGATAGTGCTGAGACAGTGCCTCAAATGTTGTCTTTGTATATTTCTAGATTCAGTGCTTGTGAGTAGCCCTGGCTCCAAATATTGTTCTCAACAATCAGCAAATATAACCAGATTCACTAACAATAGTCAAATAGTTTATTTAATATGTGCTTTATCACTTTATATATTAATCATTAAAATATCTGTGCCACGGCATTGATAGTTTTGGATGGCCTATATTTTTCCGGATGCCAGTAACCCATCCAGCATATCCCTACTCTCTGCCCACGGCCATGTATCTGCTTAACATACTATACACAGGGTCTGAAATTTGATTTTTTTTAAGTATCCACATGGATACCAAGGTTTTAAAATTTGGTATCCCTCCCGATAATCCAGTATTCCAAATCTGGATATGGCTTTTTGTATCCCAGGGCCAAACCCAACGTCACTCTAAGGCTTACTCTTAGTCAAGCATTTCCATGAATTTCATCCATCGCATTTTGTATACTAGAATCCTACAAGGAACTTATAAAGTTCAATTTCTTAACAGTTAACAGGGTTATTTAATTATCACAGTCTAAGTGTCAACTTCACTGATATTTAATACATATTACAACTTGAAAGATGTTATTTGCACTTCACTTGGTTGGACTAGAATACTGGGTTTGGTGGATAATCCAATATATATATATATATATGACACTATTTAATTAAGACCTATAACCAGGAACGATTGCAAATGTAACACTAAATCCTCGACCAGAAATTGAACCTACAGCCGAGCACTTAGTTTTGGATTATTCACCAAACCCAGTATATATATTACACCCTGCATTTTATAAATACCTTGTACCAATAGGAACAGTCTTTGTAATTCATGGTGATTGTGACAATAAACTATGGAAATTATCTTATATATAAAGGATAAGTCTTATTATTTATTTAAAAATTGACTCGCTGACACCATTGATATGATGACGACAACGGCTGCCGAAGGACTAACTAGAAATTGTTTTTTTCTTAATGCAGGTATCAGCGGCTTTCCCGGGGGGTCGACCCCCAGGCTACCCGGGGGATTTGTCAAAACCGTCTTGACAAAAGGACACTAATGCCCGTGGGTTTGGGGCAACATTTTGTTACAAATACCCCTACCTCCGGGGCGAAATTTGGAAAACAATAATTTCAAATATAACAAAATGGTTATTTTTAAAGAAAACGCAATTGTGCTGAAAGAAATCCACAAGAAAAGTGAAAAACAGGAAAAGATAAGCCAGTTTTACAGTCAATTTCAGCTGACTTTTCATCGTAAGATTCCGAACTTCGTTCCGAACTTCGCAAATTCGTTGCCAAGTTCAAAAGTTCATAATGAAATTCACAAACAGGTTTGTAAACTGGGCATTTGATTGGCTGCTTTGATTTAATAGCCAATCAGAGGCTTTGTTTACAAACCTGTTGCGAAGTTCGGAACGAAGTTCGGAATCTTACGATGAAAAGTCAGCTGAAATTGACTGTAATTAATAAAGAACTTTAATTCATTACTAGAAAGCATATAATTGTTAAATAAACACTTCTTTTGGGCTAAAATAGCAACAGTATGTTTTACTGTCGAGAACAGTTATAAAAAATAAACAAAATGTTCTTTTCTTCCATTTCACGACCCTTTTTCTTCGAGATTTTCACACATGGACCGTGATACCAAATAAAGCAATGAGGACCTTGAATGTCACACTGAATCATAAACCTAATGAATACAAAAGAAAGAAATAAAACACAATTATAATAAAGGCATCATTCTAAAATAAATAAATAATCAGAAATATTAAATTATAGAAATTAATGACAGCATGCAGAAGTACAGGCACATTTTAATGAAACCACATACCCATGTTCCGTGTCTCTACAACAACACCAGAGCTCACCACCACCACAATCATCGCCTTCTGCAACTATACAAAATTGTTCAATAATAATTGTTCACTTAATATTAAAATGTGGTGTGAAGGCACAGTTTTGATTAATGGTATAATTAAACAAATAAAGGCTGTGGTAGTTTTGTACATTGTAGTATTGTATTTGTTCTATAGTCGGTCTTCAATGTTGTTTCATTTTAGTAGCAATGAAACATTGTCTAATATGGATGTCTGTATTTATGGACGTTAAACTCCTAAACACAAATACGAGGGAGAATATGTGATCGGTAACATTTTTACAGGCTTCAAACTTGGTTATATTAATACAGAATTAAATCCAAACTATACGATATGATGTACACCTTAAGGTCAACTGGGTTTTGAAATACATAATTACCTTTGTCGACGATTCTTTTTCTTGCTCTAGTAGCAGCGGCTTTTTTTGCCCCTGCCTTTCTCCTCTCTGCTGTAAGTTTAACATGTGCTGTCCAAATATGAGCATCATCAGTGGAAAGAAGAACATTTTTGCACATGCATTGATAGTCGTCCTCTGTCCAATCTTCATTTTTTTCTAACTTTGATTTTGCCGCATTTCGGAGTTGATCTTTTGGTGGGCTATAGATACACTTGTCGGTTCCATGTTTTGTTACGTATTCCAGATGATCATCTGGCATCAAATAATGGCCAGTACAAAAACCTTTGCATTGCTTACAAGGTTGTCCCCAACTTCGCTTTGGGTCTGGAATTGGTATGGGAAGATAGGAAAGGGGAGGACTACCTTTAGACCAAGCAAGCTCCTCCTGGGGTCTGCCCCTTTTGCAGACTGGGTGTACGCATTCCTTCTCGTAGCATGGAAGAAGTTGGAAAATATAATAACTTGGGAGGCCTTTCACCATATGGCTATCTCGTAGTTTCCAAATTTTGGTGAAATATTCAAAAAGAGTTGGGTTTTCTTTCATTAATTCCTTTTTTTTCTTTTTCGTACCAGAAAGGAATGTGATGAGATGAGGCCGTCTGTTCTGGTAATTTTTTGCAAGATCATTTCTACTGCCGTTCAACAGTCTTATAGATGATTCTCCAAAAGCAGCATTATTGCATTTACTCATGTAGACATCGGTAGCACTTTCAAGATTTTGTTCAAGTCTGTCATAATCAATTGAGCCACTTCGTGCAAAATTTGACCCGTGAATTGTCGATGGAATGAAGATGTTTGAGTGTGCTACAGCTAAACATCCATTTTGGAGCTCAACCCTGTTGAGGTATGATGATCCACTGGAACGAGTGGTAACCAAGGTGCAAACTTTTTCTTGTTCTAGATGTCTCTCTGTCCATAAAAACTGTACCTCCGCGTGTATTGGACCTTCGTCCCCTGCACCATCCACTCTTATGCAATCTATTGGTTTGTTCTTTAAACACGACTTGTAATCTGGGTCATTCTCCAGCATAACAAGATCTGCTGCATGCTGTGAAGGATCCTTGGGGTATAAAATATGTGCTTTTACCAGACCCGCAGAGTGTTGAGGAGTCGTTTTCGTAGCTGGAATGAGATATGATGTAACTTGTAATACCGATGAATATTTGTTAACGTAGTCTGTCCTCGTTGTCATTTCTGGATTACTCTTGCTTGAGATGGATTTATGCTGTTTATGGGTAAAGGTCGTATCCAGCCTAAACCCTGCTGCATCGTCACGGTTTATTGTACACTTATCTCTACCATCTTCAAACTGAATCTTGTCCAATCCTCTATAAAACGCAGCACTCCAATGTGCATCTGGATTCAACTTTATGTTAAATCCCTTTCGAGCTCTTCGGCAAGTTATTTGTGCTGCACCCCAATAGCGTTTAGAGGATTTGTGCCTCTTATTTCGGACAACTGACAGCTGAACAATGGCTCCGTAACTGAACTTTCTCTGATATTTGCTTTCTAAATGTTCTTTAATTTTGCGATAAGTCACACGTGGCCCACTCTTTACGTTACCGTCAAACGTGGCCACGCCAGTTCTCCTCCACGCATCGGCACCAATTCGATTTTCGTGTACAAAATCATCAATATCTTTTCCAAGGTTGAGAAACTGCTTAAGTAAGAAGAAGAAGAAGCCCGTTTCGGTACTTTCCTTTTCAGCAAACTCTTCTCAGCCATCAGCTTTAAAAATCTCCTCCTATCCCTTTTCTTTTGCTTTTTTCTCTTGTTCGTTACAAGGGATTTCATTTTCTCGGTCAATCCTTCGCCTACATCTACCCAATTCTCTGGATCATCGCTCTCAGAATCCGACTGTATGCAGCTTTCACCCCAGGCTCTCCTACCGTCTGTTATCAAGAATGCTTTGTAGGATTGTTCAACTAGTATCTGTTTTTCACTAGATAAGTCAGTGGAGGGAAGGAAGGTAATAAAATCATTTAGAGCTTGGTTTAATTGTTCACGCGTATCGTTGCAAAGCATCATATTCAACTCTTCGACAAACGCAAACCAGTTGTAGTTGTTTTCTCCGAGCATTACCAACAGGTTTTCATTAGGTGGTAGAGTAGAAACTAAGTCAGCTCCTTCCAGTAGGATTGTTAGAAACTTGACGGTCCTTTACACTTTCCATGTCATCACAGCTATCGTTATCATTACTTTCACTTGTCTCACCTTCAGTTGATTCAGACTCATCACTGTCAGTGTTGGGGTCAATATGTACACCAAGTTCTTCTAGGATACACGCTTCTTTTACATTTGACAAAAGGTCTACAGCTTTACGAATCTCTAATGCCTGTTCTATCACATCTTCAACGTTGTCCTTTAAATATTTTAAATCTGATATACCATACGTCTTCTTAGCGGTTTCTGCGGAAATGTTACTGCTCTGACAAACTGCGTACTTTATGAGCCTTTTGTCTTTCTCAGATGAAGCAAGATCACAGATAACCTTTAATGTTTCTTTTGATATGCTTGGGATTTGAGCAGTATTGGGCTTAGACTCTAACAGTGTCTTAAGGAAATCCCCAACTTTTTCATAATTTACTGTTGTATGTTGCTCTGTCACCAACAACTTTTTCTGGCCTCTTTGTATTTCTACTGGAAAAATTACTACAGGTAATTGTAATATTCTTCTAATCGCTTTATCTGATTTGTACTTTGCATTTGGGGCAAGGAAGTGAGATGTAAGCAGGGTCTTAAGAGGGACAATGCCACTGTCGTTTATTTGTTTTGCTGCTGAAATAAGCCTTCCGCATTCAATACATGAAACCAAATGATTTTTTTCCCAGTGACAGTTTCGTGCTATCATAAACTCGTTTAAGGATAAGTCAGTTATCAGGCTACAATAAAGTCCGTTCTTAATAGAAACATTAGAAAGACTGCATGATAAATATTTGTTGTAACGCAGCGTAAGTGTTTCTATGTGCCCCACAGAAAATTCTACATAATCTGCGGGGCTCATGGAAAATGTGTACCAGTATTATGATCATCTTGACTCTGGCTGGTTTGTTTGAAACCACACTGCTCTTCACTTTTTTCATGAACAATTTCTTGTACTTCAAGTTCATTACAACTACTTAATTTGCAGGGTTCGCTGGATATAAGAGATTCTTTTGATGGAATAATGGCGGACGTATCTATACTCTGTTCACCTTTCTTCGCGACAGTAATGGAGGAACTTCAATGCAATCTTCGCTTTCATGTAAACCTTTCTGTATGTTAATGCCGCTTTCGAGCTCAGAGGTTGAATGAGATGATTTACTATCTACACTTGCCACAGGAGATGCGTTAGATGAACTAACAGAAAACATATCTAAACGCATTTCACCTTTTCTGGCGACGGAAATGGAGGCACTCTCTATCTCAATCGGCTCTTCAATTCTTTCATGTAAACCATCTTGTATGAAAACATCGCTCTCGAACTCAGTACTTGTAGAACTACTTGTTCTTGTAGTTGCACGGGTTAAAGGGGACACTTTAGATGAAGAAATGGCTCGTTTTCCCTTATGGTACTTCTTGGAATGACCATCAGCCTTCTGGAGCTTTGTAAGCTCGGCTTGAAATCCCCTCAGCTTTGTTCTGCATTCTGAAATCTGTGTAACCATCTCAGCAGCTTGAAGGTATTTTTCTGCATTAACAAACTTTTCTCTTTGTAGTTCTAGCAACTTCATTGTATCAGTAGAACTTTTAATATCCTCAGCCAACTGTGACTGTCTCTTTTGACGCTCTTCAGTGACCAATTTCAGACGTTTAGGATTTTTGGTTTCTTTTCCATCACCAAACACTTTGGATCGAGACTTTCGTTTCTTGTACTGGTAACCCTCAGAATCAGCTTTTTCCTTCGCCAATTTAAACAGTCTATTTCTGTTTTTTAAAAGGGTTGCATCTTGTTCACAACAGATCAAAGCACACGCATTAATTGTATCTTCGTATTTTGAAAGCGGCCGAGACTGCGAGCGCCCATAAATTCTGCTTTCTTGTTCCAAGACCTCTCTTTCCACACTTACATTAGCCTTAAGTGCATTAGCATTTTCCTGTGAATCCTAACAGAATAGGAAATTACTGTAAATATTTACCACAATGGTACAAGTTCAAGAGATTTATTGGGGTGTGTCCTACTGTGTTTGGCCAGATGCAAGGTAAGTCAGATAGCTGCAACAACTGCATAGTAGAAAATTTAGTATGTTGAACACTGCTTTACTGCTTGAGATTTTACTTTTGATTTACTTCAAATTTGGCATATAATCTTGATGGTGTTATTTTAATAGTGCTCTGTAACTTCAACCAAGCTATAACTAGTAGATATATTAATTTAACATTCTATACTATTAATATGATATACTCGTATGATGTGGAGCTTGTAAAGCAAAATATGATCTGGGTAAACCCATTAACTAGACAGTATATCCCTGATGTAACAGTCACATTCAGCAGTGTAATGCTAATTGGGTAGGGTTAGTTAGGGCCACTGACAGTTAGGCCCTAAGACACCCCCATCAGTCACGGCCTATCGCCCAGAAAATTAGAAAACATAAAAAATGCAGGTTAATTTAAGAATCAATGGGAAAATGCAAAATTAATAATGCTAAATAATCGACAACGATAACGGTAGCTGATTTTACTCCATCTCAAATAAAACAAAAGTTACTTATTTTATTAGTTGTTACATGTGTTGGAAACTGTTGTTGTTGTTGTTATAGATGCAAAATTTTCCAGAACATTCTATAAATATTCAATATAAATATAATATCTCAGTCAAACAAGGACAACATTCAACAGGCCGGCCGGGGGCCCCACACCACTGCTTAAGGGCCCCATCTTCCTCTGTTACGCCACTGTTCACACTATCTCTGCAAACAGACTTTCAATCGTTATTATATTTTATCCAGTATTTGTAACAAGCTTTATGAATTACAAATACTCAAGATTTAATTTCTACCTCATACAGGCAATAAGATGATGAAAAATAAATGGAACCATGACTTGTACCTAAATGACTGCTAAGCATGCGGTATAGAATGTTTGAAGATGTTTCAAATTATTGACTTACAGATGTATGCATACATTTAAGTGTTTTTGAAATTAAATTAAATACTGCACTCACTGAAACTGCTGGTCCAATTTCCACATTTCCACTTTTCCACTTTCCCCTGAAAACACCAGGGTTTTCTGTTTAAATCTTTTAAAATTTTTTTTAGTCCCTTCGATTATTTTGCAGGGCTATAAAATGCAAAATACAAAGATAAACAAAATTTAACAAAGATAAACAGAATACGTATTGTACTAGTTTTATATAGCAAAGTCTCGATCCTTATTATTGCCATCACTACCATGGTCATTAATTGTCATTATATATGGCACGTAATCTTAATATTTTTTATATCTCACCTGATTTATTTCATTATCATTGCCATGTGGTACCTAAGGGAAAGTTCAATTATAATGGTGAAAATAATTATGAGATTAATATATTTATTTGCAAACAGGTCTAACAAAAATTACTAAAATTTTATTATAAATCTTTTAGGTGGCAATGCACCCTACTTTATTATTTTACTCTGTCTAATGCTGGACGATTTTACTCGTCAGTGGGAGAATGCTGCCACTCAATGGATTAATCAAACTATCTGCCAGTGCACCCTGTTAACCCTTTAAGTGGCAATGCGCCCTGATGGCTGATATGCACCCTACTGTACTGTATTCAATCTACACAAAAAACAAGGAAGAGTAACTACAGTAACTTTGCAAAGCAACTAACAGAGTAACTCATTCATCTTAACTTCTGAATTATAAAGGCTAGATAGGAACGCATAAATTTAATCTAGTTGCACTATAAACCTGCCTTTTTAGCACTTGTCAATATAGTCATGATATCACCAATAGCAGAAATGCCCATTTCCCGAAGCCACTCTTTGGTTAAATGTGGTAGGTGCTCTTGCTTTATCCTACAAATGGAAAATATGATTACTGATTAATATGAATTATTTAACATATATTTATACCATCATGTATTATTAATTAAGAGCCTGTTTATATGAGTCCACCTAACCAGGAAACTCACCAAGTGAGATCTGCATGCCTTTCGTTAAATATGCATATAAGCAAGTCAAGCAGGCAAGGATCTTACCTTGCGGATGGCAAGGCAGAATCTCAATCAAGCTGTGAGATATAAATATTTTCCATATGAATGCTTCATATCCTACCGGGGCTGGGTTAGATTTTTAGAGATTTCAACCTATAATATAGTACAGTATTGAACAGCATAGTTGATAGTATATAGCCAGTAGACCTAAGCCAATAGAATATCGCCAAAGTACCCAGTAGACATGTTTACATAATTTTGTCCCAAAAACAGTGGCCGTTTTTGTACTAGAGATGCATTTAATATGCGCCGTCTGCACGCAACCTTCTTCGATATTATTCGTCTAGTGTAAAGACGGGACGAATAATCAGACAAACTATCAGCATTTATTGTTCGTCTAGTTATGCGTCCTCAGTATAAAGACAGGCACAAGACGCATTATGCGTCTATACGAACTATCATCGGTTGTGCGTCTCTTAAGACGAAGAATTGAACATAGTTCGTCTCTACCCATAATGTATCTTGTGCCTGTCTTTATACTGAGGACGCATAATCAGACGAACAATAAATGCTTGCCCAAGTATGTCCAGACGCATAATGCGTCTCTAGTATTAAACGGCCAGTGATATGGATACAAAATATCAGTCAAATGGGCACATATGAACAAGCCCAAGAACAAAATAAAATCACAATTTAAGTTTTTTGCATTTTATACATTTCTGTACTCATGCAGCCTTTAATATTTAATAAGATTTAATAGTGCATTTTGAAAGCATATTGAGGCAAATTCCAGGTGGTAATACATGTACATGAAAAAATCCAGTGAACTACAGTATTTGTAGTTCTATTAATATGAGAATTCCACCTGCACCAACATTCCCAGAAAAATACTTAAAACATACCTGTTTTCTTCAAATATTTTGGCATACGCATTTCCAATGTCCCCATCAAACAAAGCCAGAAAAAAAATTTTCCAATCCATGATCCTTTATAAAATATAAAATTGTCAATATTAAATGAAATACAATAAATTTTCGCATCAGCTGACAGTATTGCTGATTGCATGGATTTCTTTAAGCCAAAATCGTGACAGAAATTTGTAGTAAGTTAACATACATATCAACATATTTTTGGGTATCTCGTTCGATAAACAATGAAGCGTAGAGAAAATATTTTGGAACGAAAATTCATACACAATTTTATATAGGACGTTTCTCATTACGTTCGCTATTTTAGCCTATTTAATAAATCAGTATCTGATACAAAACGTTTAAATGTGTCCTTTATAGTTTCAAGCAATTATTCTGGTGTTTCCAACTTTTATTGAGGATGGATGACTAATTATTCATTTATAAATAAAAGGATTAAATTACACTCACCTAATATATTGTTCGTGTGCCTCGAAGCGTGTTCCTGTCTTCATAAATAAGCATTTTTTGACGAATCACCGCTGACCGATATAGCAGCATTCCTTTTGCAAATCCCGGGGGTTTGTCCCCGGGGTTAATTTGCAAAATATAAATGTAGGCTAAACCCCCGGTCTCCCGGACGTGATTTTAAAACAAATCCTGTGCCATGCCCGGGGGTTGCCCGTGAGTTGCCCGGGGGTCGACCCCCCGGGAAAGCCGCTGATACCTGCATAATACAAATAAAATACAAATGGCTTCCGTTTGTTTTGAATTTTTAAAATAAATAATAAAACAATTATTGAATTTGGTTTCCGCACAGTATGAAGAATTATCAAGCCCTCAGTTTGCCGTTATCAACCTCAGCCTTCGGTTGATAACGTTCGGCAAACTTTGGGCTTGATAATTCTTCATATCGTGCTCAACCTCATTCAATATATAATTGTTAAATATTAATTAGGAGTGTCTCAGTTTAGGAAGCAAGTCCATTGTTCTAGTTTTTTTATAGGGTATAATTTACTAATTATGATTATATTTTCAATACATAAAGTTTTCCTTTTACAGATTCCAATATGATGAATCTCTGGTGGCATTTGCATGCTGTGCTTGGAGCAGTATTAAATGTACATGAAGAAATCAATGGACTTGAACAAATGGTTTGTTAGATCATAATACAGTATTGATTGTGAAGTGGAAAGTGTTATAATACGGCTTTGTGAGAAACTCTATTCGCCACAACACATTGCTGTGCAATCAGAACTAACCAGTCATGTATAAGAATGACAGAATATAAAACTTATGTAGTGCATACAGAATTTTCTATTTTTTAAATACATAGTATAGGTAATATAATATAGTAAAATTTTGTCTAAAATAATAAGAAACATTTCTTAAACTGAGAACAATGAAAAATGTCATAAGTTAAAAAGATAAATAGCCTAAATTAGTATGTTATTTGTAAATATAGCCTGTTATGTTTGCCACATTTTTATCTGTAATAAATGTATGGATACACACTCAGAGTAACATCACAAATATCATACACCTGAGTACATAACACCAACACAGAAAAAAAATCATATTACAAGATTACACTGGTATCGAAGGAACTAGATTCTGTTCCGAAATATCACTTACTCGAACCGTCCTGACCGCGTAGCTCAGTTGGAAGAGCATTGGGCTAGTATTCCAAAGGTCGTAGGTTCGAATCCCACCATGGCTGGGCATATTTTTCAAGCTCGCCCGGTGTGGATACACACTCAGAGTAACATCACAAATATCATATTCACCTGAGTACATAACACCAACACAGAAAAAAAATCGTACTTGCACTCATTTGAATTCCAAAATCCATTAACAGCAATCCAACAATTTCTTCACAAGTATATCGTTTGCAAAACAAGTATTCGATTTTTTCATCGTCATCCATGTTTTCTTATAACTACCATTTTTGTTTTCTTATAACTACCATTTTTACTCCCCCCATGTGTTTTTACTTCTGCCATGAGTATCACTTCCGCTGTTTCACTTTGTGGTTTTGCTGTGAAATTTAGGGAGATTTTGCTGTGAAATTTAGCATGGTTTTGCAGTAAAATAGCATGGTTGTGCTGCAAATTAGCACAATTTTGCCCTAAATTAGGATGATTGTGCCACAAATTTAGTGAATTTGCTGTGACCCTTGTGGGCTACCGTACTTTTGCTAAGAATATGCTGAACAACTGTGCTGAACAATCCCAAGATTTGATTTATTTTTTTATTTGTTTGTTAATGTGTTTTTTGACAGGCATTTAGATGGAGATCATAAGTTAATAACATGGTGAATTGTTATTCATGGAGCGATCGATGGGTTTTCCAGGGCTGTTGTTCTTTCTGAAAGCATCTACCAACAACAAGTCATATACAGTATTAAACTTGTTCCAAGCAGCTACTCGTGTATTTTATTACCCACAAAGAATCTGAATATTGCTGTTGCAAGAAAAATGCTACACAGATATTGTCCATCTGCAAACACAGTCATTACAGGCCAGTCTGTGCCAGGGTTGTAGGACCTGGGGGGGCAAGGCCCCCCAGTTTTTAGAAGACACATAAAGTGCCCTTTTGTCCGGTGGCAAAGCACCCTTTGCCTTAATGAAAAATGTTGTTCAGATTGCATTTTTTGACTCAGAAAGCAACATTTGCAAGTCTTCGTGGTTACTTGAGTGTGGGTCAGTTAAACAATGAGAAATGACCGGCCTGTTTGCTACACACTTTTTTCCCTGCGAATTGGACATCAATCAAACAATATAACGCTTATGGCATGACATGTTTTCATTTGTATCATCATACTACAGAAATCTCTTACCTCAAATCCATACATTTACTTGATCCAAATGATGAGATTAATATGTATGAATTGCACTTTACCCACATACCTTGCATTAATATGGCATTGAGTCATTTTGTGAGCCAATGGAACAACCACCCATTGTCAAGTGAAGGAAATCGTACCCTGTTGCAAAAGTAGACCAAAGATTTTATCAGGTTACAAACTCTGATTACATAATGGTACAGGAATTGATAGATCCAGACAATGTCAACTTCTTCCATTATGGCATTGATGATAGGCCATTGCCTGAACTTCAAAATATGAAATGATGTCCAGGTACCAAGGTCAACTGTTGAGCTTTCAGATAATGACTACAATGTTTTAGTTAATGTGATTAATCATTTAGCAGATGATGGAATATGTTTATATGAAGAAATTAACATGAGTGTGAGAAACATTTTATTAAGCTATTAATAAAATGCCATTTTTTTACTAGATGTTAATAAGTGTGTTCTCAATGTTCATCACAGACTATACATTTCCAAATTCATCTGCATTTGCAAGAAGGGAGACATCCATGCTGAAACCCCACTGATATATTTTTTGGAAAGCCTGATGGTTTGACGCTCTAGTTTACCAAAACCAGTGATTCTGTACACTTTATTTCCTAAAATATTGTGGATACATATTTATTTATCGATTTCTGTGAATTTGGGCAGGATTGATTGAAATTGCCCGTAAGAAAACGCTAGACCTTTTAAAGTCTTAAAAAGGTCTTGAAAAGATCTTGAAAATTGTATTTAAAAGGTCTTGAAAAGACCTTGAGATCGCCTAAGGTAAATGTCTTGAAAAAGTCTCCGCTGTGATGTTATTTTGACAGGTCAAAAGACATTTTCGAGACCTTTCGGAATCAATCTGGAAAAGTCTAAAGAGGTCTAGAAAGGTCTTGAAAGATCTTGCAACGTCTTGAAAGGTCTTGCAACGTCTTGAAAGGTCTTGCAAAGTCTTAAAAGGTCTTGAAGCTCTAGAATGATCTTAGAATCTATTAATAACCTATTTCTCGTCGAAACGCGCGTTAGTGCGCGCTCTTTACAGCATATACACTTTTAATAAGCGCAACAAAATCAATTTATTAAAAAATTATTTATAAAAATTCGCACAGTTTTAATATACTGTATATAAAACAAGATAAGAAACCGACAATGTCGTTACGTTTATCATCATTCATCAGCCTGTAATCCATAGGGATAGCTACAGTAGTATAATATTATATGACCTGATTAACGTTTATTACAAACTGGCGTCGGTTGTTTCAATCCTACTTTGTCTTTGTTGGGAACGCCATCAACTTCTTTTTCAGCTTTGTTTGTGCACACGTACACTTGTTTGTGAACATTTTGTTCAACTTTATGCTTTCCAACGGGGCCACGTGGAATATTTTTGCTGAAGCCAGCAAGTATCCTGTAAATAAAAGAATAGTATTAAGTATACGTATCGATTAGGATGCATTTCGTGCAATCTTGGCATGGTAACATCCAGCTATTCCGAAATTGACAGTGCACTCCCGACTTGAGTAATTAAAGACATAAATCATAACATTTATTTGGTACAATAATATAATTTAACAAAGGAAAATTCCGAAAATCGAAATATTACTCAAATCTTGACTGAACTGTAGCGCGTTCGGTGCGCGTTCTTTGTATTAATATTAATTACATTAATTTATATACTAAACGTGTTTAAATTAGAAGTACCTTTGATTGCTGAAACGATATTCGGATCTAGTACTTGTTTACCCGTTGGAAGCACCCGATTTCCAAAAGCAACAGACATCGCCAGTGTTTCCTCAGAGAAAAAGTGTTCTATCAAGCAATGGAACAGCACCTTTAAGTCTGATCCTGATTTGTGATGGCATTGGCGAAGCTTGATCGTGGGGATAAAAACACCAGATCCTGGGCATAATTCTTGCTTGCCATTACCTCCTTCGAAGTACGACAAAGGCGAAGATGATGGTGTATCGTTGACGGCAGTTGGTGGAAGTGTTGTAGCATTGACAGCACTGGTGTTCGTAACATTAGTCTTCGCTGGAGCCTATAAATTTTGAAACAAAAAACAATGGAACATTGGTTATTGTCAAAATTATTAAAGAAAGGAAGGACTGCAATCCAGATATTTCACGCAAAGATTATCTAGGAATGAACATTTTTGCAAAATATGATTCTGATTTTTATACATACATTTGTTGGTGGCGTTTTCTGTGTCTTGTTCATAGCCATAGGTGGAAAACTGATCTCCATTACTTCGTCATTGCAGTCCTCATCAGAGCTTGCATCACGAAGGTATTTTGCCAATGATTCAAGGTATATTACAGCTGCCGGTGGAACATTAAGCAGACCTAAAAACTATTATTAATAACGTATAAGTATATACGTCTGCAGGGGCCCATTCACTAGCTGCGACGAGCCAAAACACGGCTTTCGTTCTGAATGAACATGCACTGTAATTATCTATACTATCTATACAATTATATGACTTATAGGTCTATTAACCGTGCTTATATAGTCATAGATATAGTGATATAGTGATATAATTA